TCTCAGTTAGAAATATAAGTTATTTGTATATCTCTTCACTGCAAAACGGCCAATTTGAATAAAAAAAATACATAATTGTCAAAAGAAGAAGGGTGCAAATTTAGGCTTCACCCCGGGTGGCAGGAATTCACGTTACGCCACTGAGAGCAATTTAATTTAAAGAAGCTGTAATTTATTACTGGCTATAATATCTACATTTTTTATTGATATTGTGTGGGATTTCTAGGAATATGAGAATAGAAATCAGACTTCAGCATTAACAAAATTGATTTTTAATTAGCATAGTATGACAGACGTCTGCCTCCGACGTGTTATTGCTAATCAAATAAAACCGACCAATAAATACACTTTTTTTACAAAGTACTCACAAGTACAAATGCGAATGGGTCATTTACCTGTAACTTGTATCGACATTTACACAATAAAAATTATGTTGTAAAAAATAAGCGACTTTTTAATAGTAGTTTAAAACTACAAAGATTGTATGGCAATAATGGCGATATTTATGCACCGTTGACTGTTATTTAAGATTATTACTTTTTTATTTTACAGCTTTGTTTTAAATTGCAATTATTCTAGAGTTTATTAGCAGTATTTTGTACTTTATAAAATTAAATAAAGCATACAAAATTGTAAAATTTAATTTCTCACGCTGTCTACCCATTAGAATTTCAGAGAAATACATTAAAACTATGCATATCATTAACATTTTATACCTGGAGTAAGTCAAACGTTAATGGCTAAGAAATGATTGTTTGCGTTTTCTTTATGCAGGTATTAGCAATAAATTCGATAAATATGTGCATATTTTGTTCGCTGTAGGCAGTTTAAAATCTGCTAGAGGAGCGATATTTATATATACGCATTACCAATTTAGTTAAATAAACACTAATGGTATATCATAAAATTGCCTTATATGTGTAGTATGCAAAAATAAATATTTCAAACAATGAATTGGATTACTGTTTTTTGTTGCTTTAAAATCGATTAGTCCAATAAATACTGCTTAATGCTTTTGAGAAGTGTTACACATTGTTCAAAAGATTTTGAGAGTTCAGTAAGTTTAGGACAGTTTTCACAGAAACAGGAGATATTTTCAGGTAGACGTGGCTCAAAACATTATGCTTTTTCGTTCGTGCAACACAAAATGAAAAAAACCATCAAAGAAATGGGGTTTGTTTTTTGGAAAAACGTTTAAATACGTCGATCTTTATTTTTGACTGTGGGTTTTTTCATGGTAAATTCATGTATACAGGGTGGTTCAAAAATAAAAGACTACCAAAGCACTTATCTTTTATTATGTTTTGTATTCTGCATCGAATATTTTAACTATGTTTCATGCAGTATGTCCCATATCTAAAGTCAGCAGTTATCGGTAAATTTACGAATAATTACTTTCTAATTTGGGAAGGCGAGTAGGTTATTGAAACAAACACATTTAAATTGAGGGGTTTATTTTTTGAAATTTTTAGAAATTTATTAAACGATAAAAAAACAAATTAATTAAATAATTACTGGCCATTAACTTTCTGACAATAGACAAGTTTCGTAACATTTTAGTCAAGGTTTGTGGCTGGATTTGTTATATTCTGTTCTTCAATTCTTCAATATTTTCCAGTTGAAGTCGACTTTAGATTTCAAATAGCCCCATAGATAAAAATTTAGTAAGGTGGAGACCTAGCTGGCCATTCGATAAAGCCTCTCCTTCGGATTCATCTATTTGAGAAAATATATTGTTGAGGTAATCTTGTACTATTCTTGAATAGTGTGGGGGTGCTTCATCTTGTTGTAGCCATACAGATTCTGCTAGTACGTTTGGGTTCTCAACATTTGAGTTAATCTGGGTATATCACGTAATTTTGTAGTTGGTGTAAGTACAGTTAAAAATCGATGCAAAATTCAAAAATGTAGTAAGAAATAGATGCTTCGGTTTAAAAAAATTAAGTCAGTGGTAGTCGCTTATTTTTGAACCACCCTGTATACATCAATATACCATGAAAAAACCCGCAACCAAAAAAGAAACCCCTAAATTTTAAATTAATGTATTCGAACCCACACGTCTTTACTGTATAGCTTTCAGTTAGCTAAACTCTCTTGCATGAGAGGATTATGTAGGAAACAAAGAAAGTAATCATTGTATTGTTAGATATCTATTAACAATCAATTAATCATACAGTTTATAGGGAAAATTGAATTAAGAGATAATATTAGGTTTAGCTACAGGAAACATTATACCAATAACGGAAATGGTTGTTCGAGTAGTATTTGAAAAATAAATTATGGTGCACTTACTTTTAGAAACAAAATAGTTTATTAAGAGATTTTTGCGTTGGTGGGCTACCTGCCTTGGTGTTCACCCACTGTCACCATCAATTTCCATATAAGGAGTTTTAATTAGAGCTCTAAATTAGCAGTAAAAATCCACTAAAACCTAAATGTTAATCGGATAACAAATAACTTGGCATTTGATTAAATTTTTTTAAATCTTTAAGGGAGAAGCTTCCCCCTGTTCCTACCCTTAGCAACAAACTTTCGCTTAACATCTGTCATAAGCATATCCTCAGAAAACGCGAAATCGAAATTTATCATAATTTTTAAAGTTGAAATTAACAGATGAACAGGCACTTACATCAAACTATTAAATAATACTTCGTTTCAGCACTTCAATTTACTAATACAAGTAGTGTAACTACGTCCTAAAAGTCCAAATAGTGTAAGTTAGAAATAAAGTATAGGGTTGTTCGGAAAGTCATTTCGTTTTTTCCCGACAGAGGATTTAATTGTATTCTTTTGCACCCAACTTTACATTTAAGCCGTATAATTTTTATATGCTTTGAGAGCTCATATAGCAAGGCTTGTGTGTCAAAAATTCCAATTAATTCTACGCAGTAGTTTTTGGTTGGTGCCCTTTTAAATATGGAGAGCGATAAGCAGCATTTTCGACATATCTTACTGTTTTACTACAGAAAGGGTAAAAATGCTGTTCAAGCCAGAAAGAAATTGACTGATGTGTATGGAGAAGGTGTGTTGACAGTACGCCAGTGCCAGAACTGGTTCGCTAAATTTCGATCCGGCAATTTTGATGTCGAAGATGCACCACGTTCGGGAAGGCCGGTTGAAGCTGATAAAGACGCGATAAAGGCATTAGTTGATGTGAACCGGCGAATAACAACACGTGAGATCGGATTGAGGTTAAATTTATCAAATTCAACAGTTTATGACCACTTGAAAGGCCTGGGATTATCCTCGAAGCTCGATGTATGGGTTCCCCATGTTCTCACAGAGAGAAATCTGTGTCGCCGCATTGACGTCTGCGATTCGCTTCTCAAACGTCACGAAAATGATCCGTTTTTGAAGCGCATCATCACTGGGGACGAAAAATGGGTTGTATACAACAACGTCAAACGCAAGAGGTCATGGAGCAAAAAAGATGAACCGGCTCAAACCATTTCCAAAGCCGATATTCACCAAAAAAAGGTGATGCTGTCTGTTTGGTGGGATTTTAAAGGAATCGTTTTTTTTTAGCTTTTACCGGATAACACAACGATTAATTCGGAAGTCTACTGTCATCAGCTGGACAAACTGAATGATGCACTTCAACAGAAAAGGTCAGAACTAATCAACAGGAAAGGTGTAGTGTTTCACCAAGACAACGCGAGACCTCACACAAGTTTGGTCACTCGCCAAAAGCTTTTACAGCTTGAATGGGATACAATGCTACACCCACCATATTCTCCAGACCTGGCACCATCGGATTATTATTTGTTCCGGTCACTCCAAAATTTTATGAGCGTGGAATTATGCTACTACCAGAAAGATGGCAAAAGGTGTTGGACCAGAACGGTCAATATATAATTTAATAAAGTATTTGTTTATTATACGAAAACTGTCTTTCATTTCCACAAAAAAAAAACGAAATGACTTTCCGAACAACCCTATAGTTAAAAGATATAAAAAAACACTTCGAACTACTTCAGGTCAAAAGCTATTTTTTTATTTACAATCACCCAGCATTTCGCTCTCAGGTGGGGGGGGGCTTTTCTTAATCTTCTTTTGAAGATCAAAATTTAAAATTCTTTGTCATATACAAATACAGCAATACCTAACAAAATTACATAAAACACAGGACACATAACACATATACAGTAAAAAATTTTTTTATAAGAAACTATAAAATTTAATCCAGTCAGTATCAGTATAGCGACTTTATAAAAAGATTAGAAAGATTATTTGTTATGCATATGTCTTTAAAACTGTATTACAGTTACAGTTACCCTTGAAAAAATCCTCTTCCGAAGGCGAAACGTTGGAAGGCTGTAAATAAAAAATACATTTAGAATTTCACACCAGAATTAACATGGACTGGTTTTCTTCTTAACAAGTATTGACATTAATAATAATAGAAAGTAATTAAATGATATAATTCGGTACTTTTTTTAATAACCAGCTATACTGCTACCTTCTATATACTGTTTTGTCGTAAAAACGTTTCTGTTTATTTAAAAAGAATGTTCTAAACACTGCGTATCATTTTTGGTGTAATCTCTCATTGTTTCCTCTTTACGAACTAAGAAAACCCTAATAAATAATTATCCGTGTGGTCTTACAAGAAATTGAAAATTTAATGTTCATGGTTGGATATTATTAGCAACTAGTAATTTTTCTTCTTTAGTACAAGTGACATGTGTATAAGAGAAATAATATAATTTCTAGTTACGTATAATAAATAAAAGAAAATAATTTATATTTACTTTTTACCATAGCCCAAAGTTAGGAAGATATTTGTACTAATGGAATATATTCTGGATAAAATGGTACATTTGTTTATCCGTTGGCACCATACAAAAAAAAGATATTAGCTCCTTTTTACCAATTAAATTTTTTAAATTAAAATGTCTTATTGTTTCTTTTTTTATGACATGACGTTGACAAGTCGCATAAGTAAATAAATTTTTTAATAATGCTGCATGGAAAGTTAAATATTTTTTAAATTGTTTCAGGGTGCCAAGGTATGGATTGCACATTTGCAAAAAGTATGGGAAGGGGCAGAACTGTTGGAGGACTACACTCCATCGAAGAAAACGTTGAAAGTTCAAACAGAAGAGAACGAAATAAAAATTTTAAATCTCAAAGACGAAAACGACCTGCCCCATTTGAAAAATCCCGATATACTAATAGGAGAAAACGATCTTACGTCTCTGTCGTACTTACATGAACCTGCCGTTTTACACAATTTACAAGTTAGATTTTGCGATCAAAAGGATATTTACACATACTGTGGAATAGTTTTAGTTGCCATTAATCCCTACGATGAACTTCCCATTTACGGTAAGTCTTTTTAACCTTTGTAAAAGTAGGGTTTATGACACCCTCCGTCGAGTACTAGTCGAATATTACAATGCTGAAAAATGCCCAAAATCATGAAAACACTCACTTCGTTAGTGTTATCTTTTCCTATTGTAATCTTAAGCTAAGCATATCAGTAAAAAGAAATGTTGACATCTCCGTGAAAATTTGATAGATATATTGCTGAGTCAAACTTAGAGACGTTATGAGACGTTCATCTTTTTTTTTATAAGTTTCACAAGGAAAAAATAATGCAGTTGCAAGGGTGACTCCTCCAGGGTCAACAACGTGATCGACTGGCAACGTTACGGACTGATCGTTCCTATATATGTAAAAAAGGCAGAGATAGCATTAGTATATCTTAAAATAATTTTTCTAATTTTGAATTTGCGACTTCAGAAATTATTGTTTTATTTGTTGCTTATTAATAGTTTTTTTTATTTTTTAATTATCGTGTTTAGAATTT